GGGAGGGAGGGACAGCAGTAGTAATTACTACACAGTGTAATCTGTGTGAAGTGGCAATAGCCCAGGTATTTGTGGGATGGGTAAGGTGAGAGTTCCCACTAATGGGAAAAACAACCCACTCCCAGCTCGGCAGAGCACCAGCACGTGTACTGGAAAATGAGCTCAACAGCTGAACAAAGGCGGTGTTGTGGGATTTCACAAGTGCAGAGCTGATCTAAGTCTTGGCAAGATGTTGTTTAAACCCTAACATTTACAGCTAATGAGTAGCTATTCAAGATGTCATGATCAAGGAAATACCCAGACTTTGAAAAAAGATTTGTTGGCCAAGCATTTGAAGAATGATGTTCCCAACTATGATTTAATGCAGAACATTAGAATTAACAATAGATAAGAAATGAACCTGGTGGATGATACTTGATACCACTGCACATACCATATTTCGAAGTAGCGCTGTAGACTCTTCACTGAGAGCAATTAACCCCTCCCCTAGATTATGCCTTTGGAGCTTATTGTAGAAAGACCTCAATCCTTGCTCCATTTTAGCAACAGAATCAGCCACACCATAATACCTCCAGACTGGCAGCCTGTTAAAAAGAAGAGTCTCGCTTGATTTCATAATGAGTTATTTGCCTGGATCACAGATTTTTTTGTGATGAGAAAAAGACCATACATTCCACATAATTGGGTTATACCAGCAGAGTTAGAGAATTTCCATGAATATATTTTTTAAAAAGAGGATAACCTCTTTCTTCTCAACTACTGTGTACAAAAGTTTCTTAGGTTCATAGTACAGAAAGGATATGGGAAATTTATATTTGGCCAAACTGAGTAAAAATAATCCAGCATGGGACTCAAACCTTTTATAATTAGTGAATTGTTATGTTAGGCCCCTTCACACTCTGTCAACTGTATTCAATTGGCGTCTGGCAGATGGAAACATCTTACAAAGCCTTGGGCCTCAGTGAGGAATCTTTCATAGCTTGTTTTCTGAGGGTGAGGGCCACAGTAGGTAGGATGATTATGTTAGATGGGTTGAGCCATGCTACACAGATGGGCACAGGGTTTGAGAGAGAGAGTTCTCATGATGGTTTCTTTTAGTTTTTCAACTGTTCAATCTATTTTAGATCTCACATTACAGGGTTGGGTTTTTTTACCCCACTCAGAATGGCTGCAAAACACGCCCTTGCATCTTTGGAAGCCACAGTGAATTTCCCGGTCTGATTTAGGATCTTTTCCTTTTTGGTTTTATGTAGCTCACAGAAAGACCAGTCTAATCAGGACATGGATGCATGGGAAAGTTAAATCTTTCCCCCAATTTTTTGCTTTCTAAATAACTATGTAATTTGTATAATTTCTCATTGACTCTAAGTAGAAGGTAACTCTGGAAGCATAGAATTCTTTATGTACCTAAAGCTGCCTTCCCCAGTCTGGAGCCCTTCTAATACGTCAGGGCTACAACTCCCAGAATCCCCAGGTCTTGGCATTAAATAACTGCTTGGGTGAGATGTCAGACAATACTAGAACATTTCATTTAATTCTTACCTAAGTATATCAGTATCTGGCAACCTTCGCTGTTGTTGTTTCAGAAGTTGGCTTCCCAGTTCCTGATGAGCAGATGTGATATTTTGACTTATGCACACTGTGTACTGCAGGGAAGCCATGTCGGTGCCAGCGGTATTTTCAAGGCAAAAATGTTTGTTCCTCTCCACTGAGAGAGAAATTGGTGTATCTGAAGCTATCATCATGGTCACCCCTTCAATAATACACAGAAATGTGTTACTTACTCCATGAATTATTCAATATTCTTCCATTTTTTTTTCTTTGTAAAAGATAAAGGTTCCAGAGTGCTTTGCTATTGCCTTCTTCTTAGATTTTTTTTCAGATTCCCATTATAGTTAGCCAAGATTGACTATGTGCTATCATCTGCCGAGATAAATTTTGATTGATATTGTGGGAAATAAGAACTGTCCCCCACCCGTCTTTGAAGATGTTGATTTTCAAGGTCACTATTTCTGGTAGCATCTTAGTTTGTCAACCCAGCCTAGTGCTCGACAGATGTATTAGATTACAGCTCCCATCATGTCTATCCTTGTAAATGGGAGTTCTAATACAATACAAGACTATCTGAGGTGGAGAAAACTTTGGATCTTTATGTACGAGTGTGCATATGTATAAAGTTACATAAGCCTTATACATATGACTCCATTATATTATTTATGTTGCTTAACTGCAAGATTGTATAAACATTCTGTTGTTTACAGATGGAATATGTATAATAGCTATAATTAATTCCATATTCTACAAACAGTGATGGAAATTCTCTATGTAATTAGATCTCTTTTTGATCATGGACACGCATAGCATCTCCAAACCAAATACTATATGGGAGAGGCATTCCCTGCTTTCCAAACTTGTTGATCCTGGCAATAAATCCTGTTCACAGTGTGATACTCAGTTCTGAAATGTGGTGAACTGTTTTTCAGGAGGAAGCATATGCCCTTGATCTGCTAAAATGGAACAGGCCACAGACATTAGGTTACCAGAAGCTCAGAGATACAGTACTTCACCCTTAGGGCATTAAAAATGTGCTTTACTATATTTGTGTGGCAAATGTTTTTTAATGCTATCATGCTGTTTATGCCACTTGTAAAAATTGATCATGTGGAAAGGAAGATAAAATAGACAATAATGTATCCCTGTCTAACCCTTCTGAAGAAGATATTTAAACATGGAAAGTGCCTGCATCCAAACAGCTTAGTGCTGCCCCACTCAGTTTTGGACCATGCTGCTTTGCCATTCTTTGGTAGAAAGATGGGTTTAAATTCATAATTTCATTCCATGCATCCACTCTTCACATGTTTGGAACCTTGTTAAAGTCTCCCTGAACATGCAGACAATTCTATATAGTGTTACATGCAAATGAGAAAGACTCCATTTGATCTTTTGTCTTCTCAACCTAATGGTGTTAGGGCCTGGGAGGATGTATACACCCAGAAGGACCGAAAGCAGGAGCATTCATTCATGTATTTCTTCAAATTTATATACAGTGGTACCTCGGGTTACGATCTTAATCCGTTCCATGACTCTGGTCGCAACCCGATTTGATCGCAACCCGAAGCAAATTTTCCCATAAGGTTCAATGTAATTACCGTTAATCCATTCCGGCGGCCGCGAACCACGCAGCAGGGGCGGAAAAACGGCTGTGGACCACACGGCAGGGCGGAAAAACGGCCGCGGACCACGTGGCACGGCCAGAAAAATGGCCGCGGCCCACGTGGAACAGGCGGAAAATGGCCGCGGACCACATGTCACGGCGGAAAATGGCCACGGATCCGGTTTGTAACCCAAGGTAAATTTTTGCGGCCGGAGCTGGTCGCAACCCGAAAAGTTCGTTAGCAGAGGCGTTCGTAACCCGAGGTACCACTGTACTGCCTAGTTCCCAAGACTGTGGGTGAATTACAAGTTAGAAATACAATATATACAGCTCATCGGATAAAAAGACAACAACCCAGCACCAACAATCAGACAACTACAACTGAGTTGCCAAACACCAGGTGACACACTATCACTTTGACAGCTCTGTGGAAAGCCAGTAAGGAAGATCTATGATGTATCTCTTGGGATAAGGTATTCTACATCATGAGAGTTGCTCTGGAGAAGGACAGTCTTGGAGTCCATGCTTCTTCAATCTCTTAGAGGGTCTAGACCCTAAGCAACCCCTCTCTTTTTGACAGCAGAAGCTGGGCAGATTCCTGCTGTTTCTTAGCTAAGAACTCCTTCAAATTGAGTTTGACTCTTAGAAGCTAATTCCCAGAGTATCCTGACAGCATGTTACGTCGACATTCTCAGAATTGTCTCAACACATCTGGAAGTCACCATATTGGGGAAGCTGGCCTAGTCTCATGCATTGATGCACAGGTAGAATGGACAGTAGAAACCATGATTGCACTGTTTTATTAAGATATGACAAATAATTCTCAATTCCGAGTAATGGGGAGGTCAATACTTAAGGTAACTAGCCACCTTTCTCTTCTTAGTCTTTTAGGAAAGTGGGATAATATCCAGGCCCAGAACAAGACATTTTGCCATCCAAGATAATGCAGCAATAACATCACCTCCTAGCAGTAAAGGAGAACAGTGGTAGCCAATGCTGGCCAAACTGTTTTAGCACTGGAGCCAGAAGATCTCACAAGCATTTCAGGCCTCTTTCTGATAGTCAATTAGGACAACAAATCAGTTATCCAAAAATTTGCTGGTAGTCCACTTTGCCCAATGCTCCGACAGCACTTTTTAATCTGTATTTTCAAAGCTGTGGGTGGTATGCCACACAGAGTCCACAATTTGGGAAATCAAATGAGAACAGGAAACTTACCAGTGGATCCCAAAAAATATCTTTCTAAGACGGAGCCATAGGCATCTGGGGTTTTACTAAGGTTACTGATAGTGAATGGTTGGGACTTGATGTTCACACTGTTCAGAGGCCAGTGCTGACTACTGACACTTGCTCCTCCATACCAGGAAACATTTACCATCGAAAAACAATCCTGTAAAGCAAAATACTAGATTAAAAAATGAAATCTTGTGCTTTCTTGAATGAAGAGATTTCTAGCATCATCACTTTCTGAGGATGAGCTGTGATCTGGCTGGGTTTAATGGAATGAACAGAATTTAAAAGGTACAAGAACAGCTCTCTAAACAAGATCACATACACTGGAGAAGAAGGTCCTATTTCTTGTAGCCTCCTACCTTACTTCACTTGGTGGGGACCCCTGGAAGTGGGCCACTAAACAAACGAAGAGCTGGGGCAGGGGCATAAAAGAGGAGGCACTCCTTGATATTTTGGCCCAAGCTGCTGTGTGCTTTAAAAATCAATACCAAAACCTTAAATTGAGCCCAGAAATGTATTGGTGATCAGTGCAGCTGATGAAACTCTGGCATGATATGATCATATGGCCTGTTCTCAGTTACAACCTTGCAGCTTTGTTTTGGACTAACAGGACATTTCCAAACTGTCTTCAGAGATAGTCCCACATACCACAAATCACAGTTAATCAATCAAGAGGTTACCAGAGAATATATAATTGATACCATACTATCTTTGTCCAGAAGTAATACAGCATCTTATAAAGGATGCTTCAAGCCACCAAAATCAATGTGCCACCCCTGTCAACATTGGATCAGGAGCATCCTCAAATTATGGGCCCAATTTTTCAAGAAGGGTGCAAATTTTTCCAGAACAGATTGAACCCTACTGAGATGGGCAAATGGATCGCCCACCAATAATACCCTTGTCTTGCCTGCCTTGAGCTTCAGCTTATTGGCCTTCATCCAATCTATCATCATACTTAATTCTTTCACTGTGTTATTATCTATCTGGTGGTCTACAGCTCCCCTACACTTCCATGCTTCAGTTCCACCCAAAGGGAAATCATGAAGGAATTTCTCCTACATTTTTCAGATCAGTGAGCTGGGCAGCCAAGGTGACTGCAGAAAACTGGAGAAAAGCATAACCAAAAAACCCCCACCAATCCTCTATCCAGTACTTTATAATACTAGAGTATATTTAAAAACAAAAATACACAATTTCTATCAAAATAAATTCTTAAGCATCCTTAGAATGAGGTTGAAAAATTAGAAGCCTATTTTGCAGGAGAAGAAAATCTTTGTGAAATTGGAGGATAGATTTTGTCACAGGATTAGCTTTCAGGAAAGGTCATTTTATTTGCTGTGGCTCCCATCATGAAAAGGTCTTACTAAAACTGAAATCCAGTTATGAATTATCTTGTTTAAAATAACTTTTTGATTTTTAAAAAATAATTAAGAGGGCTCATTAGAATAACTTCATTAAAATTAATATGTTGATTCTTATGCAGGATCACTGGCATAAGGGTCAAAATATTTGCTTATAGCAAATTAAGAAACTGCAGTAGAGAACTCCAGTGTGTATGGTTTAGAAAAGGCTGCTGAAGGTAATGGCTGTATGTCAATGTAAGCCAATTAAAATATAATATGACTTGATTAATCCATCCTGTACTCATATCATTAACACAGATTTGCTATGTTGCCATAAAAAACCAAGCAGGCAGCATATAATAATAAGCACCTTGAGGGGATAATTCCAGTATTTACTGCTTATTACCAGAATTATAATCTCTCACTTGAAAAGCCACTTTCCCTGGATGTTATAAGATTGGCTGTCAGGATATGTTGGCAGCGCTGAAAGTTCAATTTCTGTATCAGAATTACTTTATATTGATTAAGGTGATGCTTTCTTCTCGAATCCCTTGCTCTCTCTCACTTCTAGGACAGAAAGTCGTTAAAGCTAGCACTACAATCTCTTTTAGATTAACAGGCGTGCAGAAATGCTGCTGGCTAACATGCTCTCTTACCAAACACTGCCATTCTCAGACTTTTCTGAAAAGCTCGTTCATACATTCACTTGCCCATTATCCACAAAGTACCTTATTGTATAGACAAGCAGCTGGATATGAAGAGTGGCTTTGCAGGAGCAGACTCCATCTCCAAACCAATGCATGGTCATTGTCATATCAGTAGAATGTTCCTGCATATACAACCATCTATATAATTATAATAATGAACACAGGTAATCTGGAGAGTGCCCTCCGCTCCACACATGCTGATAACTGACACAACTCTGGAGCCTACCAATAACTTTGACAAAAGGCTGGTGCTGCCTTGTTATGTCTCTGTGGGTTCCTCAGGGCAGAATGGGTCCCTTCTGCTGAGTTAAACACCTCCATGAATCACTCACGCTCAACAGTGGTATTCCAGAAAGCAAATGGCTCGGATGAGCATCCCAACCTGAAATTACACCTCAACTGTAACATTGAGATGGGTTGGATGGAGTTAGTCATTAATTTCCAGCCAGCTCTAATTCACAGAGCTGAAGCAAGGAAAAAATGTGCAGAGCAAGATCTCAGTATGTATCTTGGAAAGAAAGGCAGGATAAAACTGTAATCCATGAACAAAGTCTGTAGAAGAATCAAGTTATATACATGGGCATGTGTGTGTGTGTGTGTGTACACACGCACACAGATATATGTAAACTGCAATAATGCTCAAAGCTACTCTTTACTGATTATTGCATTTATAGCCTACCTTTCTTTTGGAAAGCTTAAGGCTCTGCAAATGGGTGTCTCCTCTCATTTTATTCCCCAAATGATCTTATTAGTTCATTGTAAGTCAGATACTAACAGTGTCCAAAGTCACTGTGTTAGAGTTGGGATTTAAACCTGGGTCTCCCTCCTCCGAATCCAATTCCATAATCACTATGCTATATTGTCACTAATGACCATACGTAGCTTCCAAGGTTCTTCCCCTTTGATCTGGCCAGTGATACCTCCTTATCACAATAATCACCTGTTATTTCAGCTCAAATAGCTAAATTGCACCCAATTCCTAATCCTAATAATTCTCCACTAAACAAAAGGATCACTTTGTTTTACCTCCTTTATTATTCTAACACTCACTGCCAACCTTACCAGCGTTCTTGTGTAAAACCCCACAACCATTTCAAAAGGGATTTGGAGTTTTTGAAGGAAGAAGTTTTAGCCATTATAGTGCAATGTTGACCAGCTGCTAATGAAAGAGAAACTGCTAATTAGTCCCTGTAATACATAATCACATAGTTTGGCTCAGATGACAATGGCTCTATAGAGAATGCAAAGGAGTTGTTTCACATGGCCAGGTTTAAGAAAGCGATTGGGAATACATTTTAAAGATACTTAGAATTTAAGAACATAAGCTGTGCCCTGCTGAATCAAACCCCTGGCCCATCAAGTCCAGCGGTCTGTTCTCACAGTGGCCAACCAACTGCACAAGGAAGCCCATTAGTCTCCCAGCAGGTGGCCTTCACTGCCTTCCAGGCTAATAGCCATTGATCCCCATGACTTCCATGAACTGATCCAATCTTTTTTTGAAGCCAGCAAAACTGGTAGCCAGCAGCACATCTCATGGTAGTGAATTCCAAAGTTTAATTATGCATTGGGTAAAAAATGGTTTCCTTTTATCTGTCCTGATTCTTCTAGGATTCAGTTTCATTGGGTGAACTTAGATCAATTCTGAATTTATGGATTTCAGAGAACTAGGTCCTCCTCCACTGGAATCATTTAAAGTTAAAAGAATTCTCTCGACCTTATATGTCCCATATAAAATGTATGTGGAATGCAATGGTGAAACACCAGCAGAACTAACAGCAGAATCTGCTTCTAAGCTAATGTTGAAAGAATACCACTCCTTAGTCATATTCAGGCATTCTACACCCCATAAACTGAAGCATCCCCACCAACATTGCTTGGATGATGCTGGCATCTTTTAAAGTAGCACAAATACTTGTAGCACAAATCTTCGTGTGTTCAGCGATACAAGCTTTGACTTCCACATGATAAAGGAATGCTTTGCATGGAAGACAAGGAAAATACACACAGGCCTATGTCATTTTTTTTTAATCAAATAGGAGGCAAATATCATTTGAACACATTGGCAGAAATGGTGAGTGTTCCAGATGCAGAGCGTTTGAATAGGACAAAGACTGGCACTCTTTCTTTCCTGTATTAGAAGCATAACTGTTCTTGATTAAGAGTTGTTTCACAGCTATACTCTTTATATGTGCTATTCAACTATCTCAGCCTATTAGAAAATAACCAGAACTGCTCAGATCACTCTCAAGCATATTTTAAGTTGGGATCCAAAGGGCTGAGAGATGGAAAGGCTGGCTATCTGGAAGTCTGAGCTTCTGAAGCTTGGAGAACCCCAAGGACTTCGCAGTTCAACCCTGAGCTGCATATATTCTCTTCTATTAATATCTGGAAGTTCCCTGACAGAGTCCCATTGACTGTAGCTTAATCCTGTGGATGAGGGTTATAATAATGATCTGATCTTGGATTTTCCACTAGCATCTAATTAACAACTGTGGAATTAAATGGCTGAACAGGATGCTGAGCAATATATTCATAATTTTGCTATAGCAGGGGTCTGTTAATATTCTTAAGTATATCATACCTCCAGAATTTGATAAGAAAAATATCAAATATTAATAGTGTAAAATTTAATATCTTTAATCTCTCCCTTTCCCATTTTATAATCAAAGTGTAGACCAAAATTATTTCTTCCGGAATATTGAAATGATACAGTATAAGAGAAAGTTTACTATAGATTATATATACACTTATCTCATATTTGCTTATAGTAAATGTTGTTTAGATTTAGCAGATGTTTGCTTTAGGGGATATTTGATTGAGTGCCAAGGGCAATGATACCTTTGTGATACAGCCTTCAATTCTCTTCAAAATTATTGTTTCCAGTCTGAACATTTCCATCTCGATTACTCAGTGTTCAGTGTGGATGTGAATGCCACTCTAAGAGGTTTAGAGCAGCCTGACAAAGAATTCTTAGCCTTATTATCCATTCCTGTGACAGAGTAGTTTGATAGCATAAGGTACAGCAAGACCCTTTTGAGTCTCTCATCTTCCAAGCTACCAGTATCTGACTCTGAAAAGAATTGGCTTTAGTTATGCTGCAGTCGGTGGACTTCTAAAAAAATTGAGCTATGATTCACCGTGATGGAGGAAAGTTCACCCAACATAATCCTTGTGCTTAAAACAGAATAAATTCATTCAACTGTTTATACTATTTCTGTTATGACTTCTTCCTTCTCTTGAATTTTGAAATGGAAAAGTATTGCTCACATGAATGGCATACATTTTTATTTTTTTCCACCCAGGAATGACTGAGATATTAGTAAATAGTTCCCAAGTGAGGCCATTTTTTGAAGGTGTGAAATTGTATGGCAGTTCAGGTGCCGCTATATTTCATGTTTTCCCCCTCTTTCCATAAAAATGTTGTGGAGAAGGAAAAGATAAAACCACCACATAATGCCTTTTGATTGGCAGCACATACAAAGAAACCAGACAAATAAGACAGATCAGCTGTTGATTACAAAACACATTTTCATTAAAGTTTCTTTAATTAGCATTGCATCCCCTTTGTCTTTCATTCAAATATAAAATCTCTTGGGCTGCAATATTCATTTTGCAAGATCTTAATCATTAACATGTTTATTTGGAAGAAAGCTAATTTCTCACAGTAGAAGATTTCCCATTATGTATGCCCATACATGCATTTGAAAACGCATCATTTCCAGATTTGTATGTCCAGAAAGAAACACAGTTCTTAAATTTTGGTTCTGATACAGATCAATTGTTAATTTCAAAATTACTTTAATCTAAAGCCTTTTCATATAATCTCACACACATAGACAGGGTAAATATAGCAAGGAAGACTTCTGCTGTCCTTCTATTATCAATTATTTGGACAATTAGCTTTGGTGCAACTCATCTTCCTTAGGTGGTTACTTTCTGGCACTATTGTACATTTAGGTATTTGATGGGTTTATTTTAGCATCTGCTCAAGAATTAAGCTGTGCAAGATAGCTTGGATTCAAGAATTTCAGACTGTGGAGATGACATCCTTTTTATCCAAGGAAAGAGGCAACATAATTTATCTTGTTGACACACTTTGTAGTGCCTTCCAGACTCCTTTCAGTCTCCCCCAGCCTTTGTGGAAGATGGAAGAGTCTTCTTTGCAGGTATGATTGGTGCCTGTGCAATAACCTTTTTTGGGTATTTCAAAAACTGGAGGAGAATACAGGGAAGTGCAGCAAGCAAATGGAAGAGAGGTAAAGTGACTGCTTCATTCTTAGAAGTGAGGGAGCCACATTCCTTCAAGAAACAGCTCTGAGAGAATGCTTTGCTTGAACCTTCATTGAATAAAAGCATCCTCCATTAACTCACAATACTGCACTGAAATCAATTTGGGATTTAATTATAGTGTAATTGTCATTTTTAATTTCATGAGCACCAGTTTAATATTCTCTATTACCTCTTCCATCTTGAGATTTTCATAGCATTTATGCAGAAGAATCCCCCTCTTTAGATTTTTTTAAAGATCTTTTCATATGCTGGGAAGGTAGAAATATAGATTTTCTATAGTTACAATAAGAACTAAGGTCAATGCAGCAATTGTTTGTTATGGTAGTTACTAATCTGAAGTCCAAGCTGGCCAAATGCTTATTCTTTCCTCACATCACTACTATTTTGACATCACAACAGCTCTATCTTATTATAAAGTTATTTGGAGAATACAATAGAAGGAAAATAAAGGAAGGCTGTAATAATTACCTTTAATTTCACCTGGCAGTGAAGGGGATTCCAGCTGATGCTGTAACACTCGCTGTTGGATGAAAGATTGGAGTCCAGGAAGATCTTCAGGTCCACTATAGCTTCCCAGGTGTAACAGAATTCAGTCCGATTTTGCCAACATATGTTCTTCATGAAAGGTACCTCCACATCTGGGAAGCTTCCTGTGTGAATCTTCAGCAAGGTTCTCTCTTCTCTCAGAGTCTGAAGGATGAGATTGTGATCTTTTCGTTCCCAGATCAGACCACTGGTACTACCTCTCAGGATCCAGTTCTTGTTTGGCTGATCTACTACTTGCCAATAAATGATCCCAATGGTCATCAGAAGGAAGACCACTACCCCAAGGCAGGCAACCACTCCTTTCCAGGTTTCATTCATTTCCTTCAGCCCAGAGTCCCACGTCACCTCTGGAATTGGACTGGGGTTATTCCTGGGTTGATTATGAGGCATTGTTTGAATTGGCAAAAAAGATAGAAGGAGGAGAAGGAAGACGGGGAGGAGATCTAGCAAGGGATTTCAGGCCCCAAGCTTTCTGTTATTGAATTTTGTAGGAAATTCTGTTCTCTCTCCCAGTTCTACCCCACAGCCCCTGGCTGTCTATGAATAATTCCACACTATTGGTACCCAGGAAGGGGAAAACAAAAAGAACTGGGGCAGAGTAAAATTCCTGAAAGGTTTTCTCCATGCATTCTTCAAGAAGAGACTTAAATCTGGGGAAGTTATTTGAGCCAGTGCTGCACAAGCAGTGTAAAGGGAGGGAGCCTGAGAAAGAGAACTGCAAATAATATGGAGAGCCAGGTCCATTTGTCCTGCCAGATTTTCCCCAGGTGCTTGACGTATCTCTGGCATATCTGAGGCTGCCTAATCAGGAATGCTGTCCACTGCTGAATGGAAGCCTGCATGCACGGGGAAGCCTTGGCTCCATAGAAGAGTGGCCTGCTTATTGAAGAAGTAGGTTTGAACTAAAAGTCAGCACAAACATACATGAACAACACACAAGGAAGCCTGCTCATCTTTAGAGTACTCTTGGTTAATTCTGTGCAAGAGTTCCAAATCAATTTTAAAAAAAACCCAGGAACCCAAAATAAGAAATGTATTATGATAATCTATGGATGATAGTTAATTACAAAGAAAGCTAAGCATCTTTTAGTGGTGTCAGTAAGCACTGGGTCCTTTAATAATTTCAATTATGCAATTGTTAAATGCCATATCTTACAGATGTCAGTTTTATTATGTACATATTTCTATCACTTGAATTACTCAGCTCTGGTCATACTTCATCTGGACTACATTATGCACACTCTCTCACACTTATTTTTTAAAGGTGTCCAAGGCAATCCTTTGGATTTTTTTTTTTTAAATAAGAGCAATTCTACAACAGTGTTATACACAACTTTGGCATCTGTTCCAGAACTGGCTGATTTTACAACATTGTCAGATTTGGAAGCTGAGATTATTTCGGACTCTACGTTGCAACCAACACAGTATTTTTCTTTGACTTCCTGTAGTTCTGCATACATTGTGTTCCATTTTTCCCTAGCTTCCAGATTGGGGTACAGCTAACCATTAATTTCTAATTAAATTCTTCATAGAAATTCAGTGTTTTGGTCCTAGATCTTACCTCTTAGTACTTAATCTTATCACCGCCACCACTACCACCACCCAGTTGTTACAGCAACATACAATATTTTGCAAATGTGCCCAACTGCAAAATTACTGGTATGTTATTATTTCACTTTTACAACTGACAAAGACTTTTAAGGCAATAAAGGAATGTTGGCAAAACAGTTGGGAAGCCTTTGGAACATTTTAATACATTTGTTTGCTTGCTTGCTTTTATAATCAAGTTCCCTTTACGTAGCTTCCATCACAGCAATCACTTAGATTTGTTTTCTCATCATAGGGAAATGCATAGAAATATGTGGACTGAAAAACATGGAGGTGGATAGTGCTAGCAATTTATTTCGTTTTTGGCTTAGTGGGAGACGCCAATACAAAAGATCACCTTCCTGTTGGTCAGCTAAAGGAAAAGAAGATGAGTGCTGATTGCTTCACTGTGTTCTCTGCATTTTGAACTCAGCAGACCATCAATAACAGGTTGATTTCAAACTGTTTTGTAAGGGTTTTGCAAATGAAAATTCTGATTGTGTGGAAGTGTCTTTGGTCCCATCCTTGTTCTATGCTGCCAGTTATACATACCCAGCTGGTTTCTGATAACAAACTCAATATATTTATTGCAGTCATAAATCTTTCACTGAAGTAGCCCCAAACACCCTGCAAACTCAATGCTTTCTGCACAAAAATCAGGCACAAGAGCTAACCTCAACAATAGAGCCTGGAAAGATGAATCTCTGGTTTAGGAAGATCCAAGAATAGTCCATTTCCAGTCCAAGGTTCCATGTAGTCAACAACAGCATATAGAATCACAGGTAGAAAATTCTAAAGTTGTTGACCACAAAGAGCCAATAGCAAAAGCCACCTCTTATATATAGTCATTATTAGCTTGACTAACTGGCTGAGTCTCACTTCTTTTCCTCAGGTAGAGGGCTTGACTTCCTTTGTTCTTCTCTTCTTAATCTGAGAAATGTTGCTGGGCTCCAGAGCTTGCCTGGCTCAGGCTCTGGATCACTGACTCAACCCATACCTGTTTCTCCTCTGATGCACTTTCTTCAGCTAATTCCTGAGGTGCAGGTTGAGCCTCCCCAGTCAAGGTCAAGCTCTCCAGCTTCTGAATCAGAAGTCTCAGACTGTCCCTAGCAACTGTGTACACTGGAGTTCCTCCCTTGATATGACTTTTATAGGACTATGATTTAATTACATTTATTTTTAATTAAAAATTAAAAGCTAAGTTTGAGATGCTGCTGCTTTTTTTAAACAACTGAAGGCCTTTATGGAGGGGGAAATGTCACATTTATAGATCTGTTCCCTGAAAACATACATACATATATATGTCTAACAATGGGACAAAATATTAAAAGCGTTTCCTGGCATCAAATTATTCATCTACGTTGAAACTTTCTGGGGGAAAATATTAATCTCTTTTTTATCCTGATACCCCTTACTATGATAGCATTCATGATAATAAGTTTGAATTCACGTATTATTTCTGTAAAAGAAAGACCACGTGGCACATTTTAACTTAAATATGTATATTTACAGTGTAATCTTAAGGTTGAATACTTACAGGTAAGTCTCAAGATGTTCTGTTTGGCTTATGTTTGGGTATGTAGTTTTGAATGGTCACTGAAAGAATGGTCATAACCTGAGGACTACCTGTAGTTGAGCCATCAGGTGACAAGGGCATGAGTGACTGTTTGGAGAGTGGCCCAATATAGGAAGGGGTGCAACTGGTGCACCAGATAGAGCTGTGCAAAGCCCCCCTTAGCTGCCACCTGTTCTTTGAGCAGGAGCTGATTGCACACCATTCCTGAATGGGGAAATGCAACCTCATCCAGGAGTAAGGAAGGAAAAATCCAGATCTAGGTGGTTCTCACAACCACAGTGACTCAGCCTTCGTAGGATTGAGTCAGAGTTGGTTTCTCCTCATCAAGGCCCGCACAGTCTCTAGGCACTGGGAGAGGACTTTGACAGCCCCGCTTGGCCAGTCTGGGGTGGAAAGATATAATTGGGTATCGCCAGCATACTGACAGTACTAGGCCCAGACTGGGAGATCATCTCACCCAGTGGTTTCATATAGCTGTTGAACAAGAGGGAAGACAACATCAAACTCTGTGGCACCCCACAAAGGAGAGGCCTAGAGAGCAACCTCAACCTGCCCCCCAACACTAACTGGAGCCGTCCTCAAAGGAAGGAAGAGAAACACTGCAATAAAATATCTCTGTTCCTAGGACCAGTCCAGAAGATTGGCATGCTCAACAGTACTGAAAGCTGCTGAGAGATCAAGGAGCACAAAGATGGATGTACCCCTTCCATCCCAGCTCTGCCATGGGTCTCAACAAGTGTGACCAAAACTGTATCCATGCTGAATTTTGGCCTGAAACCTGACTGAAGCAAGTATAGACAGTCTGCTTCTTCAGGGTCCTCTGCAACTGCAGCCCAACTAGATGGTAGTTGTCTAAGATAGTTGGGTCCAGCAATGGTCTCTTGAGGAAAGGGCACACCACCGCATGGACCCAACTGCAGATCTACCCCGTGACCACTTTAACAATCTTGAGTCCAACAAACAGGTGAATGAACTAACAGTGCAGAGAACCCTGTTCATCTTCTCAATATTCACCAACTCAAACTCATCCCAGATCATACCATCAGACTGAGGCCCTGCCACCTCAGCTGGACCTGCCCAGTCAAGAGTCCAACTTGGCATGGATCTGAGCGACTTTATCCATCAAATAGCCAGATTTATGTATTTATGTTCAGAGGTATCTTCCTTTTGTGTAAATATGGTTCGTTAAACTGCCTGGGCCCCCACCCTCTATGCTTTTCAGTATTTATATGCACTTGTCTATGGTTTGCAAAAATAAACAAACCCGAGAGATTGCATGGTGGGAGTCCATACAAAAGAGCTTTGCAAAAAATGTAATCAAAAACACTGAAATCCTCCAAAGTGTTTCCAGCTGCCTTGTTACTGTTCATTTGCTACATTCAAAAGCCTCTGCAAGGATGAAATGATAGCATATCAACAATTTTATAAGTCGGCAGTTTCTCAATAGCTGTAATCATAAATGCAAAGTGTTGCTGTAGCTAGACAGGGACTGGGAAAATAAACTCTAAACAATGCATATAGGGAGAGAGATCAGGGGTAGGATGCTGAAAGTGAGTAAGCCAGGAGGCAGGGTGAAAAAAAAGTTCCTGCTAATGAAAAAATGGACTGCCCACAAGGTCTACATAGCTGCAGCCAATTAGTAATTCAGCTAAATGACCCTATTCCCACAATATGTTTTACTGGGTTAAGGCGGGAGAGTTAATAATAGAATGGGGTCCATTGGCTCAGTCAATTAATTTCCAGGGAATCAGCCATTCACAAGGTTGAACTAACTCTACCCACTCAGATTAGCATGGCAACACCTGAACCCAGTCAGTTGGCTCATCTTGCATAGGTAGTCCTCCAAGAAAAAGATCTGGAGAGAAAGAGTAGCTGAAAAACTGTGCTTCTTTATATAGAACGTGCTGCCAAACCTTCCCCACATGGATCAGAAGCAGTGTCCAAATGACACATGATATTGCCTATGTGGCCAATGAGGAAGAAGCTAAGCCATGAAGCTTTGCCAGTTCTCTCCTGATAAAATAGTTCGTGAGATAGCTAGGCTCATCCTGGAAAAAGTGAGGCCCAAAATTGTGATTTTTGATCCAGCTAATGTGAAATGTGCTACAAGAACCACAGATTATAAGAAATTTGACTAGATTACATATACAGTGGTACCTCGGGTCACGAACACTTCTGTTCACGACCAATTCGGGTCACGAACAGCACCGTTTGCAAAATTTTGCTTCTGTTCGTGTACGCCGGATCGGGTGACAAACAGGATCCGCAGCCATTTTCCCTCCTGTGACACGTGGTCGTGGCTTCCTGTAGGGAGGGGGCCTCTCCCTCCAAGCAATAACCGC